GAAGGTGAGCGCCTTCTACTGAAGGTTCTCCAGGCAGCCTGGTGTAGCAAAACTATACCAAAAGATTGGGAGATTGCCATCATTATACCTATATTTAAAAAAGGTGATAACAGACAATGTGAAAACCACAGAGGCATATCCCTCCTCAGCATTCCCGGTAAAAGTTACTCTAGAATTCTTGAGCAGAGACTTAGAAGTCTGGTAGAGCCACAGCTGGACGAGGCCCAGTGCGGCTTCAGAGCAAACCGAAGTACTCAAGACCTTATCTTCACACTGAGACAGATGAGTGAAAAAGCCCTGGAATATAAGAGTGAGATTCACTTATGTTTTTTGGATCTGGAAAAGGCATTTGACAAGGTACCCTGGAACAAGCTCTGGGACTGCTTGGCAGGGAAAAACATCCCAGCACCCCTGATCAGTGCAATACAAAGTTTCTACAAAAAGTGCAGAAATTATGTAAGAACAGCAGACCAAAAGTCAGAAGAATTTAAGACCACCAGCGGTGTTAGACAAAGGTGATATTCTCTCACCTTACCTCTTCATTCTTATGATGGATGATGTCATCAAGACCTGTAAGGAGAAGACAAAGAAGTACTCTGTAGGGTACTGGAAGATGAGACCAATCTGTATATCAGAGCTGGCTTTTGCAGACGATGTGGCCCTGATAGCTAAATCAGAGGCACACCTTCAGTCCAACTTACTTGTCTGGAAGGAAGAGCTTGAAAAGAAAGGGATGACCATCAGTGTCTCCAAAACTAAAACCATGGTGATCTCAAGAGAGGAGAAGAAACACCAGATCATGATGGGTCAGTATGCGTTGGAGCAGGTTAACCAGTTCAAATACCTTGGAGTTGTATTAGACCAAAATGGAGGCATTAAGACTGAGCTGGCTACACGAAAAGCAGCTGCTGGGAGAATCTTCCAGGCCATAAACCGAGGGTTTCTTAGCAAAAGAGAAATTGGCAAGAGGACGAAAATGGCTGTTTACCGCTCTACCTATGTACCAGTCCTGACCTATGGGTGTGAGTCATGGGCAATGACAACAGCTCACAGAAGCCAGCTGCAGGCCTCGGAAATGAGATACCTGAGAAAGGTGGTCCAAGTGACAAGAAGGGACAAAGTCCGCAATCAGACAATACGTCAAGATCTTGATACCCAGCCCTTACTAACCCGAGTGGATCAGTCACAGTTACGATGGTTTGGACATGTGTGCAGAATGGGAGAAAATCGGCCACCATGGCAAGCATGGGAGGCTAAGAACCAGGGAACCAGACCTCCGGGACGACCCAGGGTGCGCTGGGAAGGCAACATCCGACAGTCCCTGACTGACAGAGGACTGGAATGGAACAAAGCCAGAAAGAAAACTGCTGATAGAGACGTCTGGCGATCTCTCTGGCAAACCTCTACACCCCAAGGTAGAAGAGGAGCGACTAAGTACTAAGTTAAAATTATTTTTAAGAAAATTTTAAGATATATAAAAACAGTAATCAGTACACATTTACGGGCCAAAGCAATCAATTGCATACATCCTGCCAGGGCCTTAAAAACATGTTTTGGATGGCCCATGCCGTGACCCATGGTCTTTACCACGGAGGATTATGATAAAATCTGACCTCATCTGGGCTTTAAAAAAACAAAATGCCATTAAGCGCAAAGGAAAACCACTATAAATGCTTTTGTTAATTTATTAACACTGTAACCTCCTGATCATTTGCACAGGTGCAAACACAGCCAATTGCATTCAACTATACGTCTCATAAACAGGTCACGATAGTAAGTTGAAAAAACAATACTTATGGAGAATAAGAGCCAACAGGACGTGTCAGTTTTCTGGTTCTCGGGGCAAAATGGTTAAAAGCAGCAGAGAAAGAGCTTCGAAACAGAGGTGAAACTGATCTCAGGTCTTACAAAGAGAAATGTCACTCACAGTGACGAAGCAGCACCCATGCTCTGTAAAGTAAGGGACCCTTATTTCATCAGTGGTGCACATGGTATACGATACTAGATTGATATTTTCATAGACCAGTCAGCACTATGTGATAATGTGGTTAATATCACACTGGCCACCTTTACTTCCCAGGACATTACCCGGTACCTATTTAAGGTAACTGGGAGCCAAGGTAAATTTAAAAAAAAGAAGAAAACCTGGGTCGGCACGGATTCATAACCATCGGGACAGCGGGCAAGCTTCTATTCACTACGCCACTGGCTCCCAAATCTCCTTAAAGAGGTAGAAGAAACCACGGAAAGTAAACATGAATATGGTCCATTTTACTGCTCCAACCAACTAAAAGCATAAATAAATAAAAGAGGAGTTTCACAGGAAATGTCAAAGACTACAGGCTGATCAAAGAAATGGCAACATCAACATATTTATGGGTGACTACAAGGTCAAGATAGGGTGGGATAACACGGGTATGCAGAGGACAAAGTTAAACATGGACTTCTTGTTCACTTTCACTTTTAATGCTACATGTCGGGGGGGGGGGGGGGGGGGGGGGAGGGGGGGATTCTGGTTCTAATTCTCTTGGCCGCCTCAACCATGGATAAACTGTAATCTTATAGAGTATCTCTGATGTTATCTATCTACCTATTGGTCTACCTTATGCGCTATGCCCCTCTCCTCTTTCGTTTTTCTATGGCATGGTGTGGTATAGTATGGTGTGGTAAGGTATGGTATAGTATGATGTGGTATGGTGTGGTATGGTATGGTGTGGTATGGTGTGGTATGGTATGGTGTGGTATGGTGTGGTATAGTATTGTGTGGTGTGGTATGGTGTGGTATTGCAAGGCATCTTCTCTAAGTGGGCTGTTTCTGTAAATTAAATGGCTATCATAAGAGCAAGAAGCAGAAAGTTATATCTCCCTCAACACCCAAACTGGCAAAAGCCAAAGGGAAGAAGAAGCAAGAAGAAGAACGTTATAGCTCCCCCAACACCTAAAGTGGTAAAAGCTGAAGGGAAGAAGAAGCAAGAAGAAGAACGTTATATCTCCCTCAACACCCAAAGTGGTAAAAGCTGAAGGGAAGAAGAAGCAAGAAGAACGTTATAGCTCCCTCAACACCCAAAGTGGTAAAAGCTGAAGGGAAGAAGAAGCGAGAAGAATGTCAAGATAGGATTGGACTACAAAGTTATCCAGAGATCAAAGTTAAACATGGACTTGGGGTAATGAATGAAAATAAAAAAATGTTTATAATTTTTGCACAGGGAAACAGTGTGTCATAGAAGAAAATGTTTTCCCACATGAAAAAAGCAGCATGGGTAGAAAAAGACCACAATATAGAAAATCTGTGAGATCTACACAAATTATTTTAAAAAACAATGAAAACACTGCAGCATATATGGGAGTCGTCGTGGCATAGCGGCTAGACACTCACGTATGAATTAGAAGGCCGTGGTTCCCCACTGGCGAGCCAGACTTTTTTTTAAAAACGACATTGACTCCTAGATTGACCCAGCCTTGAGTGGGTACCGGGTGGAGTCCCGGGAAGTAAAGGCGGCCGGCGTGATGCTGACCACATCACCAATCTTGTGCCGAATGGTCTATAACAATATAGGTCTAGCCCTATATGATCTATACGCCTAAAGGTGAGGAAAAGGGATCTTTACTTACCGGAGCACATAAGGAGGTATGCAGACGTGCAAGTAGCATTTCTTCCAGCCCCCACCCTTTCTACCAGGATGCTATACCTAGAGGTTTGACCATGTTGAGATTACAAAATCGTTACATGGATGGCAAGCCAACTCGACAAATCCCAGACATCCCATTCAACTTCCATTTGTTATAACGGGAACACCTGTAACGGTTACACAAGCTTAGTTTAACCTGTAGTCCTATATGGATAAGAATGGGTCTGTAACGAAAATAACCACAAATAAATGAAAGCAAAGTATTGTACATTGTTATGGTAATTTTGTGCCAATGTTAGGGTATGTAAGCTGGCATTTTTGACCCAAGAAAATATGGTACCAAAGTAAAGTAACCACATATATTTGCAGGTTTCAAACTCTTTCTGCCCCAGGCCACGATCACTTGCAAAATAAAAACAAATGTCTTGTTTAGAAGAAATTAAAAGTTACAAACATCTGGAATATATGCGTATAAATGAATAGTTAGACACAGTCAGATGTGCCTTCTTCTTCCAAGAGGAATGCATCAGCCCTAACTGTGCACTTTTCTAGCTCCGACAAAAGCGTTTCTGACTTTAGCATATTTTTGTGCCAGGTATACTCTGTTCGATAGATTCCAGCCAAAAAATCTGGCTCTGCCCACCAGTGCCAAAGTCCCCCCCCCCCTCCCACCATTATACGAGCATAGCGACCTCGTTACCCACGATATTTACACTGCTATAGGATTTGTATTGTGTGCACAAAGGACTTATCATTCTTATCAGAGATGGGTACTTTCTAAGGACCGAACTTCAACCTACCGAGCTAGAAGCACACATATCACTGTGGCTCTAATTTTGAAATCTGTCAAACATGTAACATCAGAACATTTCCCCATCAAGGGATGAGAAAAATAACAAAAATCAGGTAATCAAACAATGCACTCCGCTCTCGTGCCGGTGACTCAGGTACGAATCCTGGTTAATGTAATGAGTTTTTCTGTTGGGGCAAAAATAACATCCTAGCCTGCACAGTCAATGGCCACAGCATTAGCCATGCAGCCCTAAATCCTCAGACCCAAAGACCCCACTGCCTGTGCCGTACAAGTAGTAAATACAGGCGGTATTGGCAGGTTTTTTGGCTGTTATTCTGAACTCTCATAGTCGTCATATTAAAATGTTTGTTTCAACATTAAAAAAAAAAAAATTTTTAAATACTTTTCACCACTTGTCCGCTAAATATTATCTTGTTAAAAAATAAATGCAACAATAAAGCTCTGTCCAGGGAAAGAGACAATATGTTTGATGCAAGACACTCCAGTCTGAGAGGTATAACCTTCCTCTACAGCCCAGACTAGATAAAGACAACAAAGAGAAGAGAATAACTAAACCTTCAGTTGCTCTGCACATGCTTGTGGGGAAGTAACTCTCTCCGTCCCCTGATGACCCCATTCACCAGGTAAACCACCATGACGGAGAAGGTGGAAAAATGCAGCACAGTGAGGCCGGCGATCAGGAACAAGGTCTGCACTAGCACCCACATGTAAATGAACAGAGTTTCAACCTTCGACCTCAAAATTCTGAAGAAACCAGACGGTCGTTGTGGTGAGTTGTACATGGACTGGTACATGTTGTACAGGTCCTTGGGCGGAACCGCAGATGCCAGTTTTGACGACGGCAGTGAAGATGAGGACGTCACTGCTGTAGCTGACAAATGATGGACGTCAGTTGTAACTGCTTGAACAGTCATGTTCAGGAGACTTCTAGTATTTTACAATTTATTACAGCAGACCAAACTGTCATCAATCTCTGAGATCTATAAAGCGAATGTAGCAAATCTGTTTTCCAAAAGTCTGTTGTGCTCATTAACTGATATATATTACTACAATATTATTGCAATTTTTCATGAATGTCAATAAGTTTTTAACTGCAGCTTGTATTGATACAATTTAATCCTAGAATAATCACATCTGTGGTCTTAAATGCAATTACAGAAAATATATCTCATTCTGTCTATTGTGTGCAAGTTGAAATGTTTTATCTATAAATGAGGAATAAGATTAACCTCCCATGAGATGCAAATAACACAAATTATGAGATGGATCCCATTCATATGCACAGTGGGTTACGTCTGATCCTGGATTCTTGAATGTGTCTTTACATAACCTACAGAGGAAAAACACAAATAATGAATGTCAGTCATCAGTAGAGGTTGCAACATCACTGCAGAGAGGTTGCCCCATAACTGCTCAAAGTAATCAATATCAGAGTTTAATAACGTTAACGTCAGTAATGACCATGTTTTTCCATTTCATTCACCCTATAGAGAGTGGTGCTATGTTGTGTTGCAGTTTACAGATATGCTTCAATATCTGCACCTTTTGGTCAAACCCTTCTGACTTCAGCAGATCTTGAATTAGTTTCCTTGTATGACATGCCTGTTTGGGGAAAGAGGGAGGGGCATAGGTCTATCCAGCTTCAGTTCCTAAATGAACTCCCACAGGGAGTTGTGGTGTAATGACAGTCATAGTAAGTTTCATTATAACAAATATGATGTTACCACTGATCTTATTATCAGAGCAATACCACAAGCAGCAAAAAACATCTATATCATGTGTTCATTGATTTGAAAAAAGCCTTTGATACAGTATGGCATGCAGCACTCTGGGACGCTATGAAAAAGTACAATATGGGTAAAACCCTCATATTTTGTATAGAACAGCCAAGGCCAGGAGTGCTGGCCTGTCACGCTGAACGGACAAATAGGTAGTGGGTTCCGAACAACAGTAGGAGTCTATCGGGGCTAGACTGAAGCTGCCAGAACTGCAGCAGAAATTCAGAAAAGACAAGCCTGAAAAGAGATTGAAGCAAATCACAAGAGAGAGGTGGCTTCTATTCCCTGTCCACATTGCTCAAGAACTTTCAGTACCAGAACTGGCCTTATCAGCCATGGCACACTTCACAAAACCTAACCCAGTCAGTGAATGAGTCACTAGTGGGTGAAAGTTAAAGTACTAATTATCATCACTTGCGATGGACGAACAACAACGTAACGACATCACAGTATTATAAATGATGTGTAACCTGCACTCTATGCGGATAAGAAGGCAGTTGGGGAAAAAAAGTCGGGTGGCAATGGGGAAGGCTGGCCACAAATCAAAACAAAAGTTGGCTGACTAGCCTCAATCAAACAATAACATGCAAGCATCAAGTTTCCTGCGTCTGACCGATAGACTGATAGGGGTGAAGGGAGCTGGTCACACAGTCAACAGAACCTGGTGATATAACAACACGCAGTTTTACAGGACAATGTTGAAGATCAATTCTGTGATATTTTGTTTCACTTTCACAGTACATCAAAGATCAACAGACAACACGGTTCAACACCGCCATTGAATTTCAAAACAATGGACTGTCCAAGACCGGCAGACGCCCAAGAAAGGACAAATCTGCACAGTATATTATTCGGCTAGTCCGCTGCCTGTTACTTGTCTTTTAATTTGTTTCGATTCACTATTTTACTAAACAAATGACGACTTATGCTGCAGACAGCACTGCTAAACGAGGTGAGGAGACGCTTACCTTGCTCCGTCTGTGCGGGCTGTCGGTGACCTCTGAACTTTGGCCTGCAGTATCGTACGTTGTAGGGGAGATCACCGCCGGTGCCTGCACAAGGTGGGCGGTATCACACGGGATGATATCAATAATTGTTAATAATTTGTGATATATCGGAAGCCGTCGTGTCTAGCAGTGGGTACCAGGGGCGGTCCTAGGAAGTAAAGGCGGTCGGCATGATGCTGACCACATAACACATCAAGTGCCGTTTAGTCTATAAAATAAAGGTCTAGTCCTCTATACCAAAAAACACTTGCAAGGCAAGGAAACAGTTCTTTACTTTGTTTTATTTGTGATATATCGATGTTGTTGGGCTACTTGTTACGTCGTTATACTGGGCGTTTCCCTTTATTTCTAGATTTGGTTTATCTTATTTGACCCTCCAAGGGCATCTCTGCATCTCAAATTCAACATTTATTCAATCCCAGGTGAGTCGCCGCGAAGATATGGCGATTGCGGCCCGGGGGAAAAGGGGTTAAAAAAAAAGGGGGGGGGGGGGGGTTGCTACAATTGGGGAGATTGTAGCGTAAGTCTAATGAGAATGAAACCAATGATGCCAGCAGCAAAAGCGTACAATCTGAAAATCGAAACACGAAGAGGCAGGAGAAAATCGAGAAGAAGAAAAAGTGAGGGAGTTACGGAGCACGCCATCGCTCGGCTGCCGATCGTCTGATGAGCTGCGACGCCTAGCGGCATAAGAAGATTTTAATAAAAGTAAGAAGAAGACGTAGCGTGAGTGAACATGTGCACCCAAGCTATTTAGTTATTGTTTCTTTGGTGTAATTTCTATTTATGAACAGTGCGAATGTACATATATCTGGTTGATGAGCACACATAGTATTTTATTGTCTATGCCATTCCTGAGTATGTTGCTTCCCTGGCATCAATCTCTCTGTTGTTAAGTTCATACAGAAGTGCGCATGTCATTCCTGAGTCTGTTGCTTCCCTGACATCAATCTCTCTGTTAAGTTCATACAGAAGTGTCTATGCCATTCCTGAGTATGTTGCTTCCCTGACATCAATCTCTCTGTTGTTAAGTTCATACAGAAGTGCGCATGTCATTCCTGAGTCTGTTGCTTCCCTGACATCAATCTCTCTGTTGTTAAGTTCATACAGAAGTGTCCATGTCATTCCTGAGTCTGTTGCTTCCCTGACATCAATCTCTCTGTTGTTAAGTTCATACAGAAGTGCGCATGTCATTCCTGGGTCTTTTGCTTCCCTGACATCAATCTCTCTGTTGTTAAGTTTATACAGAAGTGCGCATGTCATTCCTGAGTCTGTTGCTTCCCTGATATCAAGCTCTCTGTTGTTAAGTTCATACAGAAGTGTCCATGTCATTCCTGAGTCTGTTGCTTCCCTGACATCAATCTCTCTGTTAAGTTCATACAGAAGTGTCTATGCCATTCCTGAGTATGTTGCTTCCCTGACATCCATCTCTCTGTTGTTTAGTTTATACAGAAGTGTCCATGCCATTCCTGAGTCTGTTGCTTCCCTGACATCAATCTTTCTGTTGTTAAGTTTATACAGAAGTGTCCATGCCATTCATGAGTCTGTTGCTTCCCTGACATCAATCTCTCTGTTGTTAAGTACATACAGAAGTGCGCATACCATTCGTAAGTTATTTTCTTTGTTTATTTACATTACAATAAAAGTAACAAATAGGGCACTTTTCCCCATTATGAAGTGTACTGGGTATATGATGCTAGTCTACATTTTTAAAATTCCAATAGGTGTGCTAGATATCACACCGGAAACCGTTTCTTAGCAGAACGTTTCCTGACACCTGTATATCTTTTAGGCCAGGTTTACTTGCAAAGGAGTTAATTAACTTTTTTTTTTTTTTTAAACTGGACGAGTCCGTAGTTTTTCAGTATCGCTTGTGACCTGTTATGATTGTCTTTAGGAAACATTTTTATGTGAAACTAGACCGGCTGAAGACTGTGGTATTCTTAATGTAAGCAAGGCTGTCTGTCATTTAACCAGAAACAGTTAAACGTTTTCTCACAGTGAAAATTTTGAGGTCCCCAGGGCTACTTATGTTATTATCATAATTCACCCAAATGATTGTAACTGTGGCTAAAGACGTAATGTTTCTTGTATTACTGGTTCTAGCACCATGTGACTGAAAACAACAAATGGCTAATTGGTGCTATTTTAGCAATTGAAAAACTGACGGTACTTGTTTTGATTCATCTAGTTTTTAGAAATTGTAATGTGGTGAACCCGAGGCTGTCTTTAAGTTACTTAGGATTTGTTACGGCCTTGGTGAACCCGCACAGTAGGTCATGTGTACTCATCGCTTAGTTATCTCGATACGGAAGACCGTTAGGAAGATTCATGTAATAGATTTCTGGAAAATAGTTTTTAAATTCTAACACGGATTTTTAAATAAGTGCTCTAGCGGTGGTTTGATGAGGTGATCATTATTGTAATAGTTCTGTCAGTGACCGCCTTTCGTGTCGCGGTTCACTAATGGATGGTAAAATACAAGATGTTGCCACTTTGATTTATTAGATTAATGCATTTGTTTCATGGTGTGGTGTGGTTAGGGGTGGAGTGGTATTAAATGCTGCTTTTTTATCCAGTCCATTTACTTCGTTGACTTTTATCAGTTTATGCTCTTCAATTCTGGTGGTAGTGGGATGCGTCTTGTTGAGAAAAATCTGCTTGTCCCCAAATTGCTCCGCAATGTTTGGTGTGATGGATACATCCAGCCAGTTGTGGTAAACCAGACCAATGATGGTGTTTTACAGAAAAATAGATACCCAGTTACTTCCAGCGCCCATAATCAAGGCCACACTGTAACTGGTCTCGAGGTATGTTATCCGCCTCGAGTGCTGGAGGTCCGGGGTTCAATCCCCAGTAAAGGCTGATATTTTTTCGGGTGGACTTCTAGTAATTTCCCCTGCCGTATGTATTCTTGCGTAGGTAACAAATCCTTTGGCAGTAGGCAATCGAAAAGAGTAGCCTAACGGCGCTGTCCGGCAAAATTTAAGGTACTTAATTTATAACTTAACCCTGACGTCACGACAACGTCACGGGAGACATTCCCAATAAATTCTAGGGTGTTCAGGTTGTAGTTTCTCGCGATTTATCTACAGCCAAGTTTAGGGTTAGTGTTAGGGTTAGGATTAG